CAAGTAATTAAAAAATGCATATTGTCTTTTTGCACTTAACCTATAATTGTTTCCGTAGATCATCTGCCATATTTGAGTAATATAATGTTTCAGAAGCTTATATATATTAAGGTTCCCAAAATACATGAATAGCTATAACCAAGTCATAAAATATTATTTCAACTACTGCCTAAATGGGTCCATTGAACCCCATTCTTGTGTAATAATTATATAATTTTTATTATTTTATTGTAACAACTACATTTTTTCTCCAGCATCTATTATTCTGAGGTGTCATTGAATGATATGGTTAAAAACATTCTCAGAAATTTTTTATTCTTAATTCAAATTGTTCTTTTTACATAGTTTTATTTTATTCGAAAAAATTACTCATATATTTATTTCTATCATAAATTTTAGTTATATTAAGATCACAATATTATAAAGTACCCGTCGAACCGTGCTCAGACCTAATTTTTTAAAAATAAATCGGGTTCGGGCCTAATATTTTTTAAAAAAGGGCCGGGTAGGGTTGGACCTAGAATTTTTTTAAATATATCTAAATTTATCAATTATATATTAAATTTTTTATGTAAAATAAAAATATTTTATTTTATTTATAGAAACTAGACAACATATAACATATGTCTTTTATTTTGAGTAATTTTAAAAATTATTTTCTATATTTAAATAAATTCGGGCTAGACCGGGCCGGGTCGGTAAATTTTTTAAAAAAAATTTATGGTTCGGGCCGGGCCGGCAAAACTTTTTTAAAAAAATTTCGGACCGGGCCGGGCTTGAAAAATTAGGCCCGATGCAGATCACTAACTTATGCAGGAATTCTGAGAGTTCCTGATTCGATAAATTACTGCCATATTAATCCTTCAAATTTTCTGAAACCTTTCTTGACGCCTAAGAAAATTTTAGGCCAAAACATTAAAAAATTATATTCGATTCATAAATTTGACGTTCGTCTTTATTAAAAATTTTTTTTAAAAAATTATATCAAAATCAAAATGTTTTTTACAATAATTATGGAAAGTTATTTAACTATATAAGAATGTTTCACATTATGGAAATGTGTTACATACTATAAAAATTTACAAGTAATCAAAATTTTTTGAGTAATATAAAAAATTTACCACAGAATTTCCCACATGTGATTAATAAATCAACACTCAGCTGTAAACCATTAATAAATAAAAACCTAACAGCTGCACACATTACAAACAATCTTGAACCATCAAATTTATCTCAAGTAGATGGTTTAAGACCGGTATGACAACCATACCTTGGGCTCTCGGCAAATCACTCATTGGGACTACACGTGTGTCTCATCATTCCCTTCAAACATAAATTTCAATATAATAACACAGGCAGAAATTAAAAAGACAAACAAATACAAAAATTTTAAAAACTTCATATTTACTCCAAGTAGTGACTTCTACTAACGGGCATTTTTCGCCTTCAACATTTATGTTTTTAAAAAATCTGTGTAATAAAATACGACTTTTCACAAATGAACCCAGAGAATTTATTTTTATTCGACAAAAAATTCAAATAGAAATTTTTAGACACAATATAGGTTTCTTTTGGGGGACTCAACTATAGAATTTTATTTTTAATTAGGTTTTATTACATATTTTATAATTTTATATATTCATAATCCTTAGTGTATTACAATTTTTTATAAAGACGGTTAACCAAATTAATTACAGAATTCAAATTTACTAATTGAGCTATAAACAATGGCGAAAACCGGATGTTTAGTACTACTATGGTTTTTGCTTTGGCACGTCGCCATTATTTGTTTATTTTTGTTTTTATCGCAAATAACTTTTTATTCTTAAATTAGGCTACAAAGGTGATTAAAGAATTAACCTCTACTAAGGAAGCCCTAAAGAAGGATATAAATTTCATCGTTATTGCTTTAATAATTTTCTGGCATAATTTGACCTTTAAACATTTCTTTAGCGTATTACAATTTTTATAAAGACGGTTAAACAAATTAATTTCGGAATTCAAATTTACTAATTGAGCATTAAATAATGGCGAAAACCTGATGTTTAGTACTAGTATGGTTTTTGTTTTGGCACATCGCCATTATTTGTTTATTTTTGTTTTTTTCGTAAATAAATTTCTATATTTAAATTCGGCTACAAAAGTAATTGAACCACTAACCTCTACTAAGGAAGCCCTAAAGAAGGATATAAATTTTATCGTTAATGCTTTCATAATTTGACCTCTAAACATTTCTTTAGCGTATTATAATTTTTTATAACGAAGGGTAACCAAATTAATTACGGAATTCAAATTTGCTAATTAAGCACTAAATAATGGCGAAAACCGGATGTTTAGTACTACTATAGTTTTTGTTTTGGCACGTCGCCATTATTTGTTTTTTTCGCAAATAACTTTTTATTCTTAAATTCGGCTACAAAAGTAATTGAAGCACTAACCTCTAGTAAGGAAGCCCTAAAGATGGATATAAATTTCATCGTTAGTGCTTTCATAATTTTCTGGCCAAAATTTGACCTCTAAATATTTCTTTAGCGTATTACGATTTTTTCATATAACGGTTATCCAAATTAATAACGGAATTTAAATACATTAATTAAGCACTAAATAATGGCAAAAACCGGATGTTTAGTACTACTCTAGTTTTTGTTTTGGCACGTCGCCAATATTTGTTTATTTTTGTTTTTTTCATTAATAACATTTTATTCTTAAATTCGGGTACAAAAGTGATTGAAGCACTAACCTCTACTAACGAAGCACTAAATAATGATATAAGTTTCATCGTTAGTGCTTCCAAAAGCTCGGCCAACTTCACGCTTAAATCGTGACGTCATAATTTTTATTTAGCTTATAACTTTTTTTCCATATGGCGGTTAACTAAATTAATAACGGAATTTAAACTCATTAATTAAGCACTAAATAATGGCGAAAACCGGATGTTTAGTATTACTCTAGTTTTTGTTTTGGCACGTCGCCAATATTTGTGTATTTTTGTTTTTTTCGCCAATAACTTTTTATTCTTAAATTAGGCTACAAAGGTGATTAAAGAATTAACCTCTACTAAGGAAGCCCTAAAGAAGGATATAAATTTCATCGTTATTGCTTTAATAATTTTCTGGCATAATTTGACCTTTAAACATTTCTTTAGCGTATTACAATTTTTATAAATACGGTTAAACAAATTAATTACGGAATTCAAATTTACTAATTGAGCATTAAATAATGGCGAAAACCGGATGTTTAGTACTACTATGGTTTTTGTTTTGGCACGTCGCCATTATTTGTTTATTTTTGTTTTTTTCGTAAATAAATTTTTATATTTAAATACGGCTACAAAAGTAATTAAAGCACTAACCTTTACTAAGGAAGCCCTAAAGAAGGATATAAATTTCATCGTTAGTGCTTTCATAATTTTCTGGCCATAATTTGACCTCTAAACATTTCTTTATCGTATTACAATTTTTTATAAAGACGGTTAACCAAATTAATTATGGAATTCACTTTTGCTAATTAAGCACTAAATAATGGCGAAAATCGGATGTTTAGTACTACTATAGTTTTTGTTTTGGCACGTCGTCATTATTTGTTTTTTTCGCAAATAACTTTTTATTCTTAAATTCGGCAACAAAAGTGATTGAAGCACTAACCTCTACTAACGAAGCACTAAAGAATGATATAAGTTTTATCGTTAGTGCTTTCAATCAACTTTTAAGCGTGAAGTTGGCACAAATTTTTATTTTTGCCTATAACTTTTTTTCCCTTAAATTCAGCTACTATACGGATTGAAGCACTAATAAGCACTAACGAAGCACTAAAAAATGACATATGATTCATCGTTAGTGCTTCCAAATGTTCGGCCAACTTCACGGAACTGTTATTTATATATATATATTTATTTATACCTTAAATATGAATAAATAAAAACATATGTATAAATATACTATTTTTATTATATCGATTATGTAATATCTGAAAAAATTGTCATACTAGTATATTTACAAAAAATGTTTCAATTATTTGTTCATATTAAAAGTACCCTATCATTAAATAAAGAGAAAAATTTGATTCACCCCTCAAACTTGATGAGTTAGCTGCTCTTTGATTTCCTAATATCTGAAAAAATGTTTTTATATTCACAATAAATAATCATTTCGACTAAATTTTTACACATATGCATTTGAAATTTACGACCAAAAAAATTATTCTTGATATTCTTTCTATCCATACAGGACTGCAAAACATTTTACTTTGATTTCTGGGGAAAAAAAATCAAATAATTCAAATTTTTTCCACTGAAACTATATGTCACTTAAACTTTTTCTGAATAATATATCAATTTTCAACCCACTCGCATTTATAGTCATATAAAAAAAAGGAAATAATAAAATTTTATATAAGAAATAATATTAAAAATTTTACCAAAAAGATAAAAGCTAGATTTTTAAGAATTAGTCTAATAATCGCAATAGGAATTCCCTATTGCCCAAATCTAATATTTTTAAACTAATTTATTTACCTTTATAAAAAATTATAACAGACAAAAGCTTACAATAAGTGGGCTTAGAGACCTCAAATAAAATTTATCTGGGAAAACTGAGCGAATAGTGCTCCCCTCCCCATAGGAAAATCCTGGATTATGCAAAACACAGCTTAAGAATTAATTAACCTAACTTAATTTCATAAAAACCGAAGGAAGCCAGTCAAAAATTTCATCATAGTAATCAAACTGGTATATTGTAAATTGTTTCAAAGAAAAATTGAAAATATGAGCATTAAGAAATTTATCTTTTAAAAAGAACCGACTTGAATTCTGTGTGACTTTTGTAAACTAGTATTCTACCATACATTATAATAAGTCTAAAATTGATAATTAACGTTATTAAAGGCAATAAATACCATCTTTATTCCTCTAAAATTACTGTCCCGAAAAAAGGTATCAATTAAATTAGGAGTAATTTTCGGAGAAGCAATTAAAGAGTGAAATTAAAATAAAAAATGTATACCTAATTTCGTTCCAACCTGATCTAGCTTTTGAATCGAGATATTCGGAGCATATTAAGCTAATTGTTTTGTCACAAGGTAGTCGAACAAGCTGTATTTTATGAAAAAAATTGAATCAATGTACATTTTAAAAATCATTGGTAAGGCGATAGTTTTACGGGTGTTGTACACCAGATCAGGTATTCAGTTGGTTTCTTAAATTTAAACCATATGATTTTGCCGGATATATATTATGTGTAGAATGCCTAGCCAACAGAGTTGTTAATCGCTACTTTTACCGCTACGCTAATTGTTAAAAAAAAGTAGCTTTAGCTACTTTTTGGCTAATTTTTATAAAAAAAATTTAAAAACAATTTTTTTTTTATTTTGCATATTATGTAATTGTATAGTAAATAATATATAAAAATCAACATAAATAAATATTAAAATATAGTTAATTTTGATTATAAAAAAATTTATGTAATAAATTTTAAATATTTATGGTAATTTGTTGAATTTTAATAATAAAATCATTTCAATATTATCATCCCCAAGCGACGATCAGAAAGTATCAGTTTTGCCTTACTAAATAATCTCTGTGTCTCACCTTCAGCATTATCCTCACCAAATATTCTATATTCATATTAAATAGAATAAATTATTCATCCCGTTTTTAATAGAAATGTGTAGTGATATTTATCAAAAATGGAGTGGTAAAATCATTAGGTTGCAATTCTAAATTTTAAACCTCAGGAATTATGATGTAACTAAGTAAAAATATTTTATCAAATGAATACATTGAATTCCCTGTACTGTATATAAATTGATGGATATTAATCAATAAGAAATAAATATAGTAAAATTCTAATCATCCATGAAATATTCAATAACCATATCATATTAAATAGCTCAATGACACTGTGCAATAAAAACTAATGAAATAATCCATCTCTCTTGTAAATTTTATTAGTTAAATTCACTAATTTTTTTTTTAATTTGATATAAATTATGATATAATATTACTAAAATATGTATGTATTTAGTTAATAAAAATTCTATATATAATGTGAAATATTAAACAACTTTTAAATAAATACTGAAAAATTTAATTAATAACTTAATACTTGATTTAATTTTATTACTCTAAATATTTTAAAAATTAATTTATAATACTGAAGGCCTTCAGCTAATTGGACCCATCAGTCACCATCTTGCAAACTTTATTATGAATCCTAAAAGACTTGTGGATGTCAATAATTTTATTGCAAGAAAATCGTATGTCTGGCATCCTATTATCCTTTTGAGGGCTAATGCTACTGATCTTCTTTTTCAAGTCCTAGGATCTAGCCAATGGCCTGTGATTCCCAAATAAGCTCTAAAAATATTTAATCAGATCAATTTATAAATATAAATAAGTGTTTACCTTCTGTTATGTGTCCAACTATCTGCCGTGGTACATATATGAGATATCTCTGATAATTCTACTATTAAAGCATCTTTCATCACTTTAAACTTATCTGCTATTTTATTCACAAGTGTCTGGCGACATAAAATAGTTGTACCAGGTGATATTTTTAATCATCTTAGTAAATGATGGATTATCAACCAAGGACATTGGCTGAACTGTATCAATTATAAAATCCACAATAACTTTATCAGTTAATTTCTGAGAAATATTAGCATTTGTATTATTAATTAATTTTGTCTGAATGGAATTAGTCTTTTTTGATGTAGATTCACCTATGTCAAATTTATTTAAATGTTGTTCAATTTTCTTAAAACAATTAGCATGAACAGTCTTATAAAATAAATATTATTATTTTATGTAAAAATGATAATTTACCTTTAGGTGTTTCTTGAGGTTATAGCTACTGGATTGATTTGAGGAAATATTTTTTTTACATTTTAAACAAATTTGAAGCCAGTTTTTGTTTTAATATTTATCTTGAAAATTTTTTGAAATCTAGGGAATGGGAAAGTATTGCTATGAATATTATATTCTTCCCTGGTATCTTCCATTTCATTAATATCATTGTCTGACTCTGAATCACTTTCAACGATTTGGATATCCATATGCGATGCCATTTTTAATTATTAACAGTTGATTTAGGTTTATAATATATTGAAAATATTAATTATAAATTGAAAATATATTTCAATTTCAAAATTAAATAATAAATCATAAAAATTATAATTAATTATGGTATTATATTTAAATTTTCGTGATTATACTTACATTCATTATATTTTTTTAAAGTAGCCCGCTAAAAAATTAAATAATTAAAAAAAAAGTAGCCGCTATTAGCTATAGCTACTAGCGCGCTACTTTAACAACTCTGCTAGCCAATAAATTTCAGACCATTTTATAATGAATGTTTGTAGAATTTCAATTTATATTAAAAATATTTAAATTATAAAAAAATGAATATAAATTTTTTTAAACTAGACCTTAACTTAATAAATGGGATAAGGTCTGATGGCATAACACTTATTCCATTCAAGGAAGACGGAGAATTAACCTGGGATTATACATGTATTGGCGTATTTGCCGTCAGCAATTCCCCGGAACTCCATTATTCAAACGGAGATATGAAAATTCAATAAATTCCCTTTATTTTTACCAATTACTTTATTCCTTTCATTCTGGGGAATTTTGGCCCTGAAGATATAAAATTTTAGGCCTTAATCATAAAAAACCTGATATCTATGATTTAAAATTATATATTCTAAGTTTTTTTAAAATGATGAACTGATAATCGTCTTTACTATTTCAGAATAAATACAGTGCTGTGCAGATTTAATTTAAAACATTTCCATATTTTTTAATTCGTTTGTAAATAAAATTATTTAAATTGTAAAAATTAATATATATTTGAATTAAATCTGCACAACACTGTAGTATTAATCAATTAACCTTACATGAATAAATCAAATGAGCTAGTTAGTAATATGACAAATACAGTGAACATAAATTAATCATCCTACTCCTACTAATCATATTTATGATTTTAGTATATTATAAATTTTAATTTAAGATATTACTGATCATAATTTTTACACATTGAGTTTATTATTGATAATATTATATGCCTTAATACTGCACCCTATTTGAACGTTTGCGTTTCGTAATGAAAAACGACACAAAGCATTTCAAATGGTATCGTGCCAATGGAAATATAAATTTTTTTTTTTTTTTAGAAAACGCTCAATTAGGTCGCACTATGATTAATCGCTTAATAAGATTATTTATAGATAATTATCTTCGGGCTCATAGGGGCAAAAAGAGTCACTTTGGAATCTGTAAAATTTTTAAAATGCTTATATCTCAAAAACTATTTATAGTAAAAAAATCTTAAGGGCTATCAAAAAAAACTAAAATTGGCGCTAATGTCTTTAACTTCTGGTTTACAAATCTTACTTTACCTGTATTTTTAAGCAAAATAGGGAATTTGTTTTCGAATTTATTTTTTTTATTTTGACACCTTTTATAAATATATATATGATGTTAAAACCTTGGCGAAACTATCGACTCTTCAGAAATATATATTTTTACCAAATAAAAAAATAGATGGCGCTAATGGTTTAAAAATATTATTCTTAAGGAAAATGAAAATATTGATGTTTATAAGTGTAATAGAAACAATTAGCCTCAAAGGCAATTAAATATAGGATGAATTTTAAATATATATATTATTAATTGTGTACGACGATTAATTGTTTGTTTTGTAAAAGATATATATACGGCGGTACAAAATATAAAAAATAGTTAAAATTATAATAAAATTTGGTATCACTATAATGGCGCAGTAGTTTCAAATGGAGAAATATAATATAAAGGAGTGCAATATGGAAGTTTATTTATCAAAGATGAATTTCATATTTAAAATCGCAAAAATAGAAGATAAAAAATCATTTTTATTAGCGAATATTGGATTAGAGGTTTATTCTAAATTATTTAATTTGTGTTTGCCAAAGACATTAGAGGAAATATCATATGATGACATAATTAAACTTTAAAAAAATTATTATATGAAGAAGACTAATTTCATGTTAGAAAGATATTATTTCTTTAAAATGGAACAAGAAAAAGATGAAACCATCGTAGAGTATATTAATAAATTAAAAATAAAGGCAAAGACGTGTGAATTTAAAGATATGTATAATACAGTATTGCGGGACAAATTAGTGTCAGGAATTAATAATGGAAAAATATTAATGAAATTAATTAACACGCAGGACTTGACATGGGAAAGTGCAATACAAATCGCGACCGCAATGGAGACTACAGAAATGATGTCGTATGAAAAATTATCTGCAGGAAAGGAGATAAATAAAATCTCAAAAACAGTAACAAGGGAGCAGTATGACCAGTATCAAAAATTATTTGCTATTGTTGTGGATTAGGAGATCACAAAAAACCTAAGTGCCCTAATTTGAATGCCATCTGCCATAATTGTGGGATAAAAGGACATTTACAAAAAGTATGCAGAAGGAATGGTGGGAAGAAAGAATATATTTGAACGATAGATGTTCCAGAAAATGAGCGAGAAAGTTTTGAGGATTGGGAATTTCCAGAGTAGTCTCGAGAAAAATTTGAGGTGAAATTATTGATAGATAAAATTTATATTAAATTTTTAATTGACACAGGATCGGCAGTTTCCATTTTGAATATAGAAGATGTTTACCGTTTAAAAATACCAATAACAAAAACGGATATTATTTTAAAATCTTATATAAATGTAATGATCAATATTAAAGGTAAATGTATATTACCCGTTAATTATATGAATAAAGTTATATATTATGAATTTATTATTGTAAACAATGGGATTAATTTGATAGGTACAAATTAAAATTAATAAAAATAAATCAATGTAATATAGTCAATGAGGTTTGGGAGGATAATATTGTACATAAATTTTCCTTATTATTTACTAAAAAATTATGTTTACTAAGAGGGTTTAAGGCCAGTTTATCGGTAAAATCCAACCCTCAGTTTCAATGTATGAAAAGTAGACCGATACCATTTGCGTGGAAGGCAAAACTCGAAACGGAATTACAACGACTGGAATCCATGGGAGTTTTAGAAAGACGAAAATACTCGAATATCGCTTCTCCGATTGTGCCCGTATTGAAGAAAGATGGATCTTTACGAATTTGCGGTGATTTCAGACAAACGGTTAATGCAAATATTTTGATAGATAAATATCCTTTACCCAGAATTAATGAATTATTAGCCACACTAAGTAATGGGTGTAAATATACAGTATTAGATTTATCCGAAGCGTATTTTCAAATAGAGCTAGATGATGAGGCAAAAAAGCTGTTAGTAATCCACACGCCTAGTGGATTGTATCGTTTCACACGACTTCCGTTTGGGGTAGCCTCAGCGCCAGCGATTTTTCAACAAGCAATAGATTCATTATTAAAGGGATTACCTGGAGTAGCGGTATATTTGGACGATATAATAATTACGGGGGAATCAATTGAGAGTCATAAGAAAAATTTGATAAATGTATTAAAGACGTTAGAAATAAACGGTATGAAATTAAATCTAAAAAAATGTGATTTTTTTAAAGAAAAGATTGAATTCTTAGGTCATACCGTTAGCGAAGAGGGAATTACGACAACAAATAAGAATGTCAATGCAATTTTAGACGCACCGTTACCTAAAAACGTTAAAGAATTACAAGCTTTTATCGGTATAATAAATTATTATCAAAAATTTATAAACAATTTTTCTACTATTGCCGCTCCATTATATAGGCTTTTAAGGAAAGATGTGCCATGGAAATGGACAAATAATGAAACAATTGTAATTAATAAATTTAAAAAATTAATATCAGAAGCACCAATTTTAACACATTATAATCCGGAAAAACCGATAATTCTAGCTGCTGATGCGTCTCAACATGGAATAGGATCAGTTATATCTCATATCATTAACAACGAGGAAAAACCGATTGGATACGCGTCTCGAACATTAAATGCTGCCGAACGAATTTACAGTCAGATAGAGCGTGAGGCTTTAGCAATTATATTTGGATTAATTAAATTTAAACAATATTTAATAGGCAGACATTTCATTATCATTACTGACCATAAACCCCTAATATCGTTACTTAATCCACATAAAAGAATAACAGATATGTCATCAAGATTATTAAGATGGTCATTACTACTAGCAAATTATGATTATGAATTGCAACTTCGAGGGACAAAAAAAATAGTAGTGCGGATATGCTTTCCCGGTTTCCAATTGACGGTAAACCATCTGCTTGGGAAGAGTTAGATATTAATTTAATAGTATCGGATGCTCCACAATTTATTTCAGCGTTAGATATAAAAGCACACACAAGAAATGACCCGGTATTATCAAAGGTTTCACGTTACCTTACTGGATGGCCAAAGATAATAGAGGAAAATCTAAAACCGTTTTTTCAGCGCCGAAATGAACTCACGAGGGAGGCAGGGTGTATTTTATGGGGATTAAGAACCATAATTCCAAAAAAATTACAAGTAAATATTTTGTCTTTTTTACATATGGGGCATCAGGGTTATACTAAAACAAAATTATTGGCACAAGAGAACGTTTGATGGCCGAATATTAACGAAGATATCGAATTACACGGTAAGAATTGTGAATTATGTCAAACAAATAATCCTGGCAATAAAACGATCATAGGGAAATGGCCCTCCGCAAATAAACCATGGGGAAGAATTCATTTAGATTTTGCCAGACCAATTAACGGAGATATATATCTAGTAATAATAGATAGTTTTAGTAAATGGCCTGAAATACAAAAAATGATGACGAATAATTTTACTGAAGTAAGAAAATAGTTGTTAAGACTGTTTGCTATTTTCGGTTACCCCAATACGATTGTTACGGATAATGGCCTCCCATTTCAAAGTAGAGAATTTAGTTTATTTTGCAAACAATTATCAATTAAAAATGTATATAGTGCCCCATACCACCCTAGAACCAATGGAGAAGCGGAGCGGTTAGTACAAACTTTTAAAAATTTAAAAAAAAACATAATGATTATAATAAAATACAAGATTTTTTGTTTAATTATCGAAATACGCCACAAATAACCACAAAACAATCACCAAGTTCAATTATGCTTAAATTTCAACCCATAGGACCTTTACAATTAATAAAACCAATTTATCCTCATCCATATATACCTCAGTTACCAGGTTTTTTTTAATATAAATGAAAAAATATATGCAAAAGATTTAAAAAAAGATAATTTGATACCAGGTATCATCGTTAAAAGAACAGGACCAATGACGTTTTTAGTTGAAACTAAATTAGGGGTATGGAGAAGACATATTAATCAGTTAAAACATAGGTTCGACAACTCCGATTTAAGAGGAGGGAAGAGAAGAAGAAAAGATGCAAAATACACCACAAATGAATGAAAATAGGCCTATACAAAACTCAATGACTAAAGACATTGATCCTCTACACGAATTGGTGACCAAAGACATTGACTGAATACAAGACTCAATAAACAAAGACACCATCATAAATGATAAGATGAAAATAGACAGTAATGAGCAAACGGTGGTAGAGAACGAAAGTACAAGCAGCCGTTATCCAAAACGGATAAGAAAACAATTTATACCGTTTCAAATCGAGAGCCCAAAAAAGGAGAGAATAGATGTAATAGAAACAATTAGCCTCAAAGGCAATTAAATATATGATGAATTTTAAATATATATATTAATTGTTTGTTTTGTAAAAGATATATATACGGCGGTACAAAATATAAAAAATAGTTAAAATTATAATAAAATTTGGTATCACTATAATAAGAAATGTAATAAAATTTTCCTTTCAGTTCTGACCCCCTCCCACTATCCTTAAAAACTTTTACATTTTTTAGATCTCTACTTTGCTACTATAGCGAATGACTTATTAGCTCGATAATGTATAAAAGCTGCATAAAGAAAGAATATTTTAGGCATATTATAGATGATATTTTACGAGCATATTATTTTACAAAATAAACTGTTTAAAACGATCTCTCTTTCTGCATAATATTTTTAACTTGCCCGTTCAGATTAATTTTAAATAATTCAACCCGTCTGCAGCTTATTATTTTATGTCTTCTACCAATAACATTGGTTTGGAGAGTGCAAAAACATATATTCTAGGTGCAGATCAATTGAAATTTTATTCTATATCACAGATGGAAGTACCAAATGTTAAAACAAAAAAATGTTGCAACCATTTAATCTACAATGACAAGCTTATTATCGATCTAGGATTCTACCCTGGACGACCGAAAAAAATTTACCAATCAATTTAAATATGTTAATATGCTCTTCATGAAGACAAAAAAGCAGCAAACAATATTCACGAATTCTCTTAAAATTAATTAAAATGAAGGATATTATATAGGTCAGACAGATTTTGCTGAAAATTATGCCTTTATGGTTCAAGATGAAGTACAGGGGTTTCACTCAAACATAAAAGCTGAGTGGTATTTCTGAGCCACATCTCATGGCAAATCATCTGTGACAGGGTCGGAGGTGCAGTCAAAAGTTTAGTGGCCAGGGCTTTATAAAGACCTGTTTCAGAACAAATATCTTGTCCTAGAGTTTTGCCTATTGTAAGGAAAATATTAAAGGTGTAAGATTTTAATTTATTACTATATATTATAATTTTTTTTTAAGGATTTACACAAGGATTTTAAAACTATTAATCTTTTTAATTTATTTTCTTAAAATATATAATTTTTTATATCTAACTAAATTTTGTTTCATATATATTTTAAAGGAATGAATATAATTATTTATCTATATTTCTATATTATTAATTAAAATGAATAATAAAAAAATAATACGAAAGATATTTATTTATTTTATTAAGTGTCTAATGGGCATTTGTCCGTACTACCCTCAGTTAAATTAGTATATTTAGTAGAAATTCGAAAATAAAAAGTGAAAATATCCTGTCATTGATAAGTTAGCAACAAAATTTTAACCATAATCCGTAATTTCATAAAGCGCTATCTATTTTTTCAATTTTTGATAAAAATGTATATTTCGGAAGAGTCGATAGCGTCGCCAAGGTTTTGACATCCTATATTTATTTATAAAAAATGTCTAAATAAAAAGCAAAAAAAATTTTTGATAACAAACTCCCCTTTTTGCTTAAAAATACAGGTAAAATATTTTTTTACTATAGTTTTTTATAGGTGTGAATTGATTTTTATGAGAAATTAGTGCCAAAGGTATAAAATTGATAACTTTACAGAATGTTATTTTAGTTAACATTGATAACTAATAAAATTAATTTATATATTATATTCAAAAATTTTATGTAAATAATAATGCAAACCATTTGCTGGCTAGTGACATAATCCCAATCATCTAAAAGAACGGGCTTGAAAATTTCGGGAATGTGAATTCTTACTTGTGAAGTATCACTATTCAGTATAAGCTTTAATCAAAAATAATAGAGCATTAGAAATATATGCAAGAAATTTTATTTTGTAAAAGTTTTAAATTTGTCAATATAAAAATAATTACATTTACTAAGTCAAAATAATATAAAAGATCATATTTGCAATAAGGGCATGAGGCTAATTTTATTTGGAGGCTATACTTTATTGGTATAAAAATTTATAAATAATTCACTATTTTAAATTTTATTAAAACTTGTACCCCATTTCTCATTGGTATAAGAACAGTAAGATTTAGATATTCTTAAATCACATGGCCAGGTCCTATAATAATTCTTATAAAAAATAACTAGCGTATGTGTAGACCGTAAAATTAATATAATAAAAATAGTATAATTTAATAATTATTCTTCAACAGTTGAAAAAAAATATTAAACTGGTACTGATAGCGCCATCATAATATAGAGTTGTTAAATAATAGCGATCAAAAGATCGAAGATCCGGAATTCGAACCTAATTTTGGCAAAATTGTTCATAATGAAAATCCTCTTAAAATCTTATTTTTTAATTAATACATAAAATAAACAAGTAAAATATAATTTATTATAAACTTTTAAATTCAAACTAAAATTTTTTATCTTCATCATAATTTATTAGCGTACACCAAAATTTATTTTAAATTAAGAGTACACTATTATATTGATTTTCTTTCTGTATCAGGGATTGAAATGGGTTTAAAGTGAGGTCTGGAACGGATGAGTAATGATTCGCTCGCCTCCATCACATTAGGTGGGAGAGACATTTTTAAAACAATGGGCGGGCGGGTTAAACAAACAATTTTTAAATAAATTGATGGGCGGGCGGGTTAAACAAACAAATTTTTTAAATAAATTGACGGGCGGGTAATTTTTTTAAAAAAATTATGGGTTTGTAGATAAGGGGTTTAAAATATTTTAATTTCTTCGGAATTTTAGCAAATAAGCAATTTCGATAATAGAAATAATGCCCCATTGAAAATGCATGTATGGATAAATTCCGTCACAAATTTAAAAAAAGGGAGATTCCGATTAAAAGTTTGCAATGTACAGGTTTGCCAGCCTGCCAATTTTACTGGCGGGTAAAATATTTTAAAAATTGTGGGAAGGGGGGGGTGAGAGAAATGGGCTAGTTTTTATGGAATATTTATCGAGCGTAATGAGCAGAACAAAATTCTATTTATTAAAAAACACTTGTTTATTTCATAATATTGCATATTTTATAAGAAGTAAAAATATATTTAAATAAAATAAATGGCGAGGGGGTGAATTAAAAATTTTTTTAAAACAATGAGTGGGCGAACTTTCGGATTTAATATTGCCCATTGCAAATCTCTAATTCCGACAAAAATTTAAAAGAAACAAAATTTAAGCCGATAGGTTTTATATTACTTGAGAATTTTGGTAAATGTGCAAAATTAAGCCACCTCTCTCGAATATTAAATAATAAAACTAAGCTTATTAAAACCCTAAATTATACACTTATGATAAAATCATTGATAATTAGAAAAACAAAAAACCAAATTTTTATTATATAATATGTGAAAAATATTATATTTTAAAATTAAAGGTGCTTTCAGGTCGGCATAACAATTTGATCAAGGATGTACTGATACTTTTATCGGATCGGCCGATTTTTAAAAATATTGTTTATCGACTGATATTAATAAATTTACGGATTAGATACTATAAAATAGTGTCTTAATTAAAAAAAAAATTTTATTTATTAATTTTTAAGAAAATATGTAAAAATTAAAAACATTCTTATTGTTTTTATAAAAAAACTAACTAATAACTGAAGATGTTAAAAATATAATAAAATACATAACTTATTTTTATAGAATATATATAATTTTAAAACTTAATTTTAATAATTTATGTTGATCATGAATATACTAGATAGGATTCTAATTTATACACGATAGATATACTCTTGGAACAAAAAAAGATAACGACTTTACTAGGGGAGACCGGGGTATAACGATTGACGGGGTAAAAATGTTAACGCGAATAACTTTTTAACCATTGAGCACAAAAATTTTAAATTTGGTGTGAAGATGTATTTTTATATCTAATTTCTTACTTATGTTTATTTTTTAAAAACTTACCTGGTTTTATATATTTTGTCAAAAAACTGTTTTTTACCTAAAAAATATATAAATCATTCTCTAGTATATTTTGCTTTTAGTAAAATAAAATATACATGTCCTCAGGATTCAAAATTTGGCACAAATGTTCCTATGTATTAGCTATAAAATAAAATTTATCTAGTATCTATATCTTTACTAGAAGTCACGCAATAATGATATTTATAATATATGTCACCTCAGGATAAAGCTGTTATGGGTAAAACTGTTAAAATATATAATTATTTACATTAAATTTTTCATTCATTCATTTATTATTTTATTGTATCAAGCAAATAATGAGAAATTATAAAAGAAAAACCATATTCAGAGATATAAGTATAATAGATGAAGCCATAAAATAATAAATAATACTTTATTGGATTTGTCTGTTAAAAAATATAAAATACCTTATAAACGTTGAGAAGAGGATATAAAAATGGTATTAGAAGTTCAGATCATCATAAACAAATATTTACAAATGAAGAATATAGATTGTGTGACTACATTATAGAAGCAAGTAGGTAATTTATGGGACTAAAGCCTAAACAAGTAATTAAATTATATTGTTTGTATTTGAATTGAGTATTAATTATTAACCCTTCAATACTCCGGTGAAAAAAAATGACGTTAGTACTCGGGTGGGATTTAATAGACTCCAATTTCAAATGTGTATATATCCATTAATATTTATTTGCTTGATAAAATATTTTTATTTTTTAAGCCTAGATTAAAGATGATGAGGATAATTATAATTTGTGCCAAAAATTTTTAAAAAAGCTTACTTTTTTTAAATTTCAAATATAAAATTAAAATAAATAACTTATCTATCATATAATCATGATAATTCATAATATGGATCTTTATTCTTCAATATAAAAAAATTACACTGATACATTCAAATATAAAAAAAATACAGAACATACAAATTTTCTCTAGTGGGGTCTCACAAACCCCAATCAGTCACAAAATTTTATCTTAAAAACTACTCAACCTAATATATGAAATTTGGAATCTAGATTCTAAGATATATTTGATGAAGCTACTGAAGATTCCAGATCATAATATTTAACCGGTTTTATGTAATATCATTTCTAGCATGCCTGAGATTTCATATACCCCACCAGAGTATTGAAGGGTTAAATATATATTTCAATTGAGCATTATTAATAAAGTTATCAAATTAATATTGATATTTGAATTGAGCATTATTAAAATTATGAAATACATTATATATTTCAATTGAGCATTTTTATTAAAGTTACCAAATTAATATTGATATTTGAATTGAGTATTAATAAAATTATGAAATACAATTATATTTCAATTGAGCATTTTTATTAAAGATACCAATTAATATTGACAATTGAATTGCGCATTTTTAAAATTATGAAATACAATATATATTTCAATTGAGCATTTTAAAGTTACCAAATTATTTGAATTGAGCATTATTAAATTTATGACTTGAATCTATTTAATTATTTATATCATTTTAAGTCTATAGAACTGGTATTGGTAATTATTAAAATGAAATTGTTTTATTTTATAAATACATAAGATAAGAGGATTAGCATATAAGCTTGCTCTAGAAAATGACAAATCTTTCTCAAAGAGCTGGAAAACTAATGATATGGCTGGAGATGCCTGTTTTATGGGGTTTAGAAAATGACATTCCCAACTTTCGATTCGTACCCCTGAAGCTACTAGTCTAGCAAGAGCATATGGCTTCAATATCACAAATGTCAATAAATTTTTTGAAAATTTAATGAAGCTATGATTCTCACAACATTGAACCACATAATATATAGAATGCAGATGAAAGTGGTTTCACCACCGTTCAAACTCCTACAAGAATTATAGCACAGAAGGGTGACAATATGTTTAGCCATCAATGCTATAGGCCATAGCATTCTACCATTTTTTATTTTTCCAAGAAAACGATACAAAGATCACTTTATTCGTGATGGTCCTGTTGGATCTAAGGGTGTGGGAAACGCATCTGGTTGTATGAGGAGGAATTTTTATCTTTTAGAAACACTTTAAAAAATATTCTAGCGCATCCAATGAGAAAAAAGTCTTGTTAATTATATAACCATACCTCTCATTGCCCAATTTCTGTTATAAACTATTGTTGCTCCAATGAATTCGTTATTCTAACACTTCCACCGCATTGCTCGCATAAACTCCAAACATGACAAAGCAGTTTATAGGACATTGAAAAAGTTTTATAAAGGAGCTATTGACACATGGATGGGAAATCATGTGGGGCAACAATTTCAGATTTATGATATTCCAGGAGTCTTAAAAAATAAAATACCGAGGGCAGTGACACCAAATAATATATTAAATGGATCTTAGCATGTGGCATATATTTTTTAAATACAAATATATTTACAGATCAAGATTATATCTGCTGTAATAATTCAAATGCTAGCTTAAATATTGAAATTGAAAATAATGAGGAAAATCTTACGTGAATATAGAATTTATGACTCAAAATAATGACAGTGATTTATCTCTATTAATGAACGAAAATTTCCCAAATGATATTGATGAACCCAATTATCATGGTATGTATCCATCTTGCTCTAAAAATTATAAATTTTTCATCCTTCGTCTATAATATCTATTCCAATATTGTTCAATATTTCATCCGAAAAAGAAGTGAGAAATACTAACATCTACTTCTTATAAAAATAATTATTAATTCAGAGAAGAAAAAAAATATCAAAAAAGAATTGTTTATGTGTTATTTGCAATTAAAACTATAAAAATAGTCGCGAGAGCGATTACAATGTGCCTTGAATGGGCGCATTTTAAATGTTATAATTATGATAATTTATTTACCTGTCCTTATTGTATTGATTTTTGTAA